CTCCATGCTGCTCCCCCACAGCTCACACCCACTTTCTGGACTGGGAACGCCACGCCGTCCGGAACTTAAGACACCAGCGCAGCTAGCCTTGGTGACGGCAGGGCTGGCTCAGGGTCACACGCAGCAGAGCGCGGACGGCACTCCTCTCCCACGCACTGTCTCCCCCTCCACTGCCCGCCGTGTCCTTACCCACGCAGCCGATGGTCACCACCCCATCCTTGTAGCGCTCCCGGGATGGGCCGGTTGGCTCCAGGGCGGAGTCCGTCTGCTGCTCCACCAGGACGGCCAGCCCGTCCTCCTCGTCCTCCTCGTCCCCGGAGCCACTGCCCCAGGTGGCCCCAGCCACGTCCCGGGCAATCTTCTCCCGCCAGCTGCTCAGGTCCACTGCTCAGAGGAAAGAGAAGGGGGCCCCGCCTCTGCAGGTGACCGCAGTATCAACCTGCACAGCTGTGGCCAGGCTGTCCCGGCTCCACCCCACCACCGTGGAGTCTGTCCGGGACTCTGTCTCACCGGCCGGCCGCTCCTGACACTGCCCTTGGGAAAGCCAAGCAAAGCGGCTCCCAGAACCTCCACCACCCACCTTTCCCTGCAGTGATGGCCTCACAGGCTCTCAGCAGCTGCTCCGGCCCCAGGGCCCGAGTCCATCCTCTGCCCCGCCTCCGACTCCTCTTCAAGACTGGGATCAGAGGGCGCAGAGGGTCGGCACCCAGCAGTGTCCGACGCTCCCCGCACAGGGCCCACAGGGACCCATCTCCCTGTCCCCACCGGCCCCTCGCCCACCCGACCCTCCTCGTCCTCACCACTACCAGGCTCATGTGAGGCACAGGGATCCCGAGGAAAAGAGGTGAACAGGACGACGTGGAGCTGGGGGAAGTGTTGGTGGAAATAATGCTTCCAGGCGACGACGAGCGCGGGCGGGGCCAGGTCCACCTTGTTCAGGACCAGCACCAGCGCCAGCCCGAAGGGCCCACAGACCCATCTCCCTGTCCCCACCGGCCCCTCGCCCACCCGACCCTCCTCGTCCTCACCACTACCAGGCTCATGTGAGGCACAGGGATCCCGAGGAAAAGAGGTGAACAGGACGACGTGGAGCTGGGGGAAGAGTGT